GTATGTTATGTATATATGTATGTAGGTTATGTATGTCATGTATGTATGTATGTAGGTTATATATGTTATGTATGTTATGTACGTATGTATGTAGGTTATATATGTCATGTATGTTATGTATGTTATATAGATTATGTAGGTTATGTATGTCATGTATGTTACGTATGTTATATAGATTATGTAGGTTATGTATGTTATGAATGTTATGTACGTCATGTATGTCATGTGTATGTCATGTATGTCATGTATGTCATGTATGTCATGTATGTCATGTATGTCATGTATGTCATGTATGTCATGTATGTCATGTATGTCATGTATGTCATGTATGTCATGTATGTCATGTATGTCATGTATGTCATGTATGTCATGTATGTCATGTATGTCATGTATGTCATGTATGTCATGTATGTCATGTATGTCATGTATGTCATGTATGTCATGTATGTCATGTATGTCATGTATGTCATGTATGTCATGTATGTCATGTATGTCATGTATGTCATGTATGTCATGTATGTCATGTATGTCATGTATGTCATGTATGTCATGTATGTCATGTATGTCATGTATGTCATGTATGTCATGTATGTCATGTATGTCATGTATGTCATGTATGTCATGTATGTCATGTATGTCATGTATGTCATGTATGTCATGTATGTCATGTATGTCATGTATGTCATGTATGTCATGTATGTCATGTATGTCATGTATGTCATGTATGTCATGTATGTCATGTATGTCATGTATGTCATGTATGTCATGTATGTCATGTATCATGTATGTCATGTGTATGTCATGTATGTCATGTATGTCATGTATGTTATGTACGTTATGTATGTCATGTATATTATGTACGTTATGTATGTCATGTATGTTATGACATGTGTCACGTATATTACGTCTCGTACAGTATCTCTAATCCAAAAGCGTCGATTCACCGATTCTTCCGCACCGGAAGCATAGCACCGGCGAAGAGTAAAGCTCGCAATTCGTTGCGTGTGCGGTCACGCGTGCACACGTGAATGTGCCAGTAACACGCCATGCCACAGGGAATATGAAAGCGAGAGTCACTCGACTCTATTACTCCATCCACGTTCCGTTGAACTTGACCTACTCTTTGTCTCGTGGCACAGGCTGCTTCTCTCGCACCTACGAAAACGTCACCTCCCTTTTCATCGACCTCTCGGTGTTCACCTTCGTCGAGAACAGCCGTTCGAGTTACCTGCGCCCGACAGGTACATCACGAAATATCTGCAGCTGCTTTAACCGGGTCAAGTTCGTTTCCACTCGGAGATTGTCCACGGACGCGGAACTGATACTTTCGTCTTTTTCGCAGTCTCGGGTTCGACCCCTATACTTGTTAATACATACGGTTAATTGGTGTACAAAATTTTCACGGTTAATTGGTTCCGTGTTAGAAAACAGGTTTTTTACCGGGTTCTTTTTTGTAAAGTTCTTTTCTTTAATGGATTTAATTAGGTGAGATGTTGTCGATTTTTACATCGAAACAACCCAACACGTAATTACATCCGCACTATCTACAAAATTTTTCAAACAACCATTTTTCAAGTAAATTCTTTAAACAATACCCACTGCGGCTACAGCGTTGAACGAAACTTATTATCCGTTTAATCCCAGCGTAATAAATAACCAAATCGAATTTACATGATCGAAGAAACAATAGGTATCGAAACATACTCATTCAGGATGACAAATTGCATTTTATCTGTAACGAAGATCTCACTTCCTGGTACACGATATCAAAATACCGACAGTTAATATCGCCATTAATTCGTAAACAAATTTTAGCCAATTTCCAAAGGAGAAACCGATGACTGTTATCTGGCACACTGCAATCTGCATTATTGTTTGTGCAACAATGGCAAGAAACCGTTTCCAATTTTCGCAAAATTTAACTGCCAGATTGTATCTGTTAATATCGTGGTTCTATTTGTGAACAGCTTCTGTGTACCACGATTATCGTGACCAACTGTCACAATGATTATTCGTAGGCGTATAATCCGATTGCCGTTTGTCGATGATAACAACGTCGTCGAGAATGTATGCTCCTAACACGGACAGCTTTAACTGCAATTTCATTATGATAAATGGCAAAGACGAGATAACGGCCGGTAACGGAGCATGGGATTTGGGAGTGGCTGATGGAGACAGAAAGTTATTTCGGAGATTTGGGAAGTTGGAATTTGGGAATTTTGGGGGTTGGAAAATTGGTTATTTGGGAGAGTGGAATTTGGGGAGGTGGGAATTTTGAAGGGTGGGATTTGAGAGGTTGGGGATTTGGAAGGTTGGGATTTGGGAAGTTGGGGATTTAGAAGGTTGGGATTTGAGAAGTTGGGGATTTAGAAGGTTGGGATTTGAGAAGTTGGGAATTTAGAAGGTTGGGATTTGGTAGAGTTGGGATTTGGGAGAGTTGGGACTTGGGAGATTTGGAACTTGGGAGAGCTGGGATTTGGGAGATTTGGAACTTGGGAGAGTTGGGATTTGGGAGAGTTGGAATTTGAGAGAGTTGGGATTTGGGAGAGTTGGAATTTGAGAGAGTTGGGATTTGGGAGAGTTGGAATTTGAGAGAGTTGGGATTTGGGAGAGTTGGAATTTGAGAGAGTTGGGATTTGGGAGAGTTGGAATTTGAGAGAGTTGGGATTTGGGAGAGTTGGAATTTGAGAGAGTTGGGATTTGGGAGAGTTGGAATTTGAGAGAGTTGGGATTTGGGAGAGTTGGAATTTGAGAGAGTTGGGATTTGGGAGAGTTGGAATTTGAGAGAGTTGGGATTTGGGAGAGTTGGAACTTGGGAGAGTTGGGATTTGGGAGAGTTGGAATTTGAGAGAGTTGGAATTTGAGAGAGTTGGGATTTGGGAGAGTTGGGATTTGAGAGAGTTGGAATTTGAGAGAGTTGGGATTTGAGAGGTTGGGGATTTGGAAGGTTGGGATTTGAGAAGTTGGTAATTTAGAAGGTTGGAATTTATGAAGTTCGGAATTTAGAAGGTTGGGATTTAGGAAGTAGGGAATTTAGAAGATGGGGATTTGGGAAGTTGAGAATTTGTAACATTGGAATTTGAAAATTTGGAAATTGTTAAGTTTGGAATTTGGGAATTTTTAAGATTGTGATTTGGAAATTTGGAAACTTAAAAAATTTAACTTTGATAATTTGAAAATTGATAACATTGATATCTGAGAACTTTTAAATTTTGGTAACTGAGATTTGAAAATTTCCAAACTTGAAATTTGACAATTTGAAAATTTGCAAATTTATAAGATTGATAAGTTTAAAAAATTGAATTCATAAATTAAAAAAAATATAAAACAGCAGAAATAGAAATATGAAAATTGGGAACTCTTGAAATTTATTTCAAAGAACGACTTCATAGTCCAAGATTAAACTTTAAACCCCTTCTTTTCATATTTTAACCCTTCTATTCATTTCTTTCCCAATCTGCCACTCTGCATTTCTTGTTCAGTTACAAAATAGCCCCAGGGTTGTTATTGTATAATCTCGTTACTGACCAGCGTTTTCATAAGCTCGAGTTGCTTTTAGATAAGATCGAAAGTCCAATTACAGGTCGCAACGTATTAGACTAATACTTAGATACGAACGTTCTTTTACTCTTAATGTTTCGTTCAATATTCCACGTACTGTATCAAAGTACTATTAGGAGAAATGTTCTAATGTTAGTCTTTTTAGTTTTCAAATTTCTAAATTTTCAAATAATAATTTTCCACATTACAATTTTACAAATTTCCAAATTTCTAAATTCCAATCTTGCAAATTTCCAAATTTCTAAATCCCAACCTTCCAAATTTTCAAATTCGCAAATTCCAATCTTTAAAAATTTCCAAATTCCCAAATCACAACTCTCACAAATTCCAAATCTCCCAAATTCCAAATCTCCCAAGTTCCAACTCTCCCAAATTCCAAATCTCCCAAATTCCAAATCTCCCAAGTTCCAAGTCTCCCAAGTCCCAACTTTCCCAAATCCCAACTCTCCCAAATTCCAAATCTCCCAAGTCCCAACTCTCCCAAATTCCAAATCTCCCAAGTTCCAACTCTCCCAAGTTCCAACTCTCCCAAATCCCAACTCTCCCAAATTCCAACTCTCCCAAGTCCCAACTCTCCCAAATTCCAAATCTCCCAAATTCCAACTCTCCCAAGTTTCAACTCTCCCAAATTCCAAATCTCTCAAATTCCAAATCTCCCAAATCCCAACTCTCCCAAATTCCAAATCTCCCAAGTCCCAAGTCTCCCAAACCCCAACCTTCTAAATTCCAAATCTCCCAAATCCCAACTCTCCCAAATTCCAAATCTCCCAAGTCCCAAGTCTCCCAAACCCCAACCTTCTAAATTCCCATCTTCCCAAATCCCAACTCTCCCAAATTCCCAACTTCCCAAATCCCCACCTTCTAAATTCCCAACTTCCCAAATCCCTACCTTCTAAATCCCCAAAATCCCACCTTCCCTATCTCCAAATCCCCAATTCCCATTCTTCCAAATCTCCCAATCCCCAAAACCTCACCTTCCAAATCTCCCAATCCCCAAACCCCCACCTTCCAAATCCCCAAACCCCCAAATTTCCAATCCTTCCACTCCGCCACCAATTTGCATCCAAACTCCACATGCAACCCACATGCACGCATTCATCAAACAATCAATATATCTCCCTTAGCCCTTGACCGAGCACCTCACAACGAGACACGCGTCCCAGCGTATTAAGTGCCAAGAAATCGCCTTGAAAATCACATGACGCGCGGCTTTGTACTCGCATTATCATCAAGTTTCCGGCGTGTATATCGATGTTCATGGAGCCTCCGAAAGGTGTATTCATGGAACGAGGGGGCGGTGAAGGTGTGACAAAGAACGATAGCGAACGAGGAGAAAGATGCGATCGTAACAGAAGTCCCGTATAAAGAAGCCGCGATAGCCAGACACTGCGACATTTTTTGATTGTTCTGCGGAGCAAACGCTCGGTCGAAACCGGAACATGGATTCCCGCTACGTTTTCCGACTGTTTGTTTTTCTGATACTCGTTGCTGCCAGACGTGTTTCCAGTGAATATAACAACCGTGAGTAAATGATATAATGGAGCACTTTTTGAGTGATTGAAGCGCTTGATGATATGTGAAATTTTTTAGATGTTAGGTTGAATATGATGGGAAGGTTGGTTAATATTTTTTATTTGTTATTTCATGGGATTTTGTGAGGATGTAGTTATGGAATGGTTAATTCAGTTATTAGTTAGAAATTGATGATTTAGTTGGGGCAATTAATATGTTTGATGCGGAAATTAATGTAATTGATTTGTGTAATTTGCTTAGTGATTGATTTGATGTGTGTAATCTGTTTTGATGATCTATTTAGGGATGTGTGGAATTTCTTTGGGGTTTGATATGGTTAAAATTTATTGAAAAATATAATATGTTTAATTTATTTGACACTTGCAATAATATTTCTTAATAATATTATTTTTAATATTTTTGATCTATGATACGCTTAGTAATTTTTATGTTTGATATATAGAATGTGTTTAGGATTTAATTACTATGATATAGTACTACATTATAATTATTATACATTATTCTAATGAATTACAGTACAATATCACTATACGATAATATAAACCAATATAAAAAAATAATAAAGTAATTATTAAAAAATAATTTTCAAGAGTGAAATAAAAATCGATATTCCTTAATAAATAAACATTTGAACGAACCAGTTAATTACGAAATTTACTATCGAAAATCACTCACGGACACGTAATTAAAATCAAGCAACGTCAAACGCATGGTTATTATTTTATAAATACTATGCTATTATAAACGAAATAAAGCAAAGCAAGGAAGAATTTCCAACAAAAGAATGAACGTCAACAAGATTTTAATGAATAATTAATATTTCGAGGAAATATGTAAAAGTGTAGTTTCAACGAATTCAAACAAACGAGTATGAATTTGTTAGGATGGTACTGATTACGACAAGAACGACAATAATCACGACAGAGAATCCGACATTTTCCGTGGGTCGTCCATTTAACAGAAGCAGAGTATTAAATGAGCAACGGAAGCGAATGGAGAGCCCCAGGACAGAAGCTTGCGGATTACGATAGAACACAGGAAGTTAATAAACCGAATTTAGTGTTCGTTGTTACTGCAGGCAACTTTCGTAATAGCTGCAAGCCAATATTCTAAGATGACTAATCTACGAAAAGAATATCGTCGTAACTGTCTTTTAACTGTTGTTAATATTGTTGTATCGGTGAACTGAAATTTGACTATTGCGGTACGAGTTTGATAAATAGATTAAGATTAAGAGGCAGGGAAATGGAAAAATCGGGGAATTGGACAATTGGGGAATCGGACAATTGGGGAATTGGACAATTATGGAATCGAACGGTTGAGGAATTGGACAATTGGGGAATTGGACAATTTGGGAATTGGACAATTGGGGAATCGGACAATTGGGGAATCGGAGAATTGGGGAATCGGACAATTGGGGAATCGGACAATTGGGGAATCGGACAATTGGGGAATTGGACAAGTGGGGAATTGGTTAAGTGGGGAATTGGTCAATTAGGGAATTGCACAATTGGGGAATTAGGAAATTAGGAAATTAGGAAATTTGGAAAATTAGGAAATTA